CCCTTTCCCTCTCTCTCACACTGGCACTCACCAGTCTGCTGTAAGCAGCTGAGGGAGATAAACCAGGAGAAAACTAATGTCTTTCTGCAGGGTAGTTTTCTGCCTGTTAAGTCCCTCAACCAAATTCACAGCTGGGTCCGACAAGTGCCAAATCAATAGAGGGGTAGGAAGAACTAAGTACAGAGCAGGACCACCCTGTAGCCTGGAGCTAGGAAATTGATATGCGATGTGGCAGTATGAACCTGTACCCTCAGCTGTGCAAGATTATCTGGATTTCCCCCGTTACCTCTTGATGTGATCTTCAGTCTACTAAAATTTTTCTTCAGTTGTACCAAAAATTATTCAGGGGGAGGGGAATAATAAATTCTTCATCAGGTGAGCTACATATGTTTTATCACAATTTATGTTAAAACACAATAGTGTCAGAGTAAATAAACACTGGGTTTACCTTAACAGGGTGGTAGCCAAGTTCAGTGGCTTTGTGGATTCCTTCCATTACCTTGTGAAAGCCTAAGATACAAAAAGAATAAAAAAATATTTTTCTTGTTTAAAAACAGAATGCATAAGGAGATTATTAAGTACAAGACAAAAAGATGACAAACATAAACCCAATCTGATTCAGTAGACAGAGCGGCAAGTAAGAACCGCGAGTAAAGAGACTTCAATTCTACACACACACCCCCCGCCCCTGCAAAGGCTGCCAGTGTTACTGTGGTCAAGTCAGAGATCAATTTTTTTAACTGGTATTTGGGTAGTCAGAAATACTGGTATGCTTTTCTGCATCTTTGGACATCCGTGTGTCATTAGCATACAATTCTCCACTTCCCCATACATCAGCTTTGCCTTGTGTTATGTTTTCTTAAAGGGAACGGCAAGCATTTGTGAACTGCCCCCAGATGCAATAAAGAAAGAATAAATTAATGCTTATTTGCTAATAATGGCACATGTGTCTTCACTAAAATGGCAGAATCTCACTGAGTGAGACAGCAATATTGCTAAGTGAATTTTGAAAGATCTTTCTAAAGTGTATGTGAAGGGGAGTGGGCACAGGAACAAACAAAAACCCCTTGATTCTCTGTTCATCTCTGGCTAGAGATGCAGTTGGCTTCCCAAAGCTACTGACTACCCGTTAGTTTGAAGATTACAGGCAGCATTTTACAGGATCATCATTTTTATGACTACTTTAAACATGTGAAATTGGTGAGCACAATGTCAGGAGGATTACAGCATTTAGGAAAGCAATTCAGTTGGCCTTTGACACTTGAAAACAAATGAAAGATGTCCAAAACTGCAGTAACATCAAGGAATTAAGTGCCCAGCGTCACCCTACCATTTAGTGTGGCCTACACTTGTCAGCTGCTCCCAGACACAGAGATATAGTTAAGTTAGGGCAAGTATCTTCACTCCTACACATACCTCCTAAATTGGGAGGAAAAATAAAGCAGCAATGCAATTTTGGAATTCCAAAGGCCTTTAGGAAAGCCTCTTAATCAATCATCTCATTCAAACCACACCTTCTGTCAACTTTAAACAAAGTTAAGACCTTTCATCAGGATATTAATTTTAGATTTGGCATATTATTCCTTCCCTGCCACACGCATGAGCCGGCAGAGAAACAAGGTGATAGTAGCAAGAATGAGACAGCAAGCTACCGAGCCCTCGATACACATTTTTGGTGAGCGGATGTGCTCATCTGCTAGCACTGTGTGTGTGAATGTCTCTCCTACCCTGCCAGGTACTTGACTAAGTTGCCTTCCTGTTCTGCACGCTAAACTTGGGTATGAGACACCAAACACTCTATGCTCCTTCTTCCAAAGCTGTAGTCTTCAACAGCAAATACTTCACACACGCTAGCAAAAGGGCAAGATCTTCCAGAAGTTTATGCTGACAATCCCTGTGGTGTTCCTGGTCATGTTTTTCTGTGCAGGTCCATCACCCTCCTTTCCCTATCTCGTATATGGAAACTCATATTCTCTAGTGAAGACATCATACCTTCATTGATCTGTAGATGCTTTACCAGAAATACGACATAACTCATAATACTCTGTGCATACTTAATATTGGATGCGTTCAAGATCAGGGCGGGGGGTTGGTGGGAAGAGACACATGAGATTTTCACTTAACTGCTTTCTGGGTAGTAAAGGCATTATAAAGCATGGACACAGGAAAGCAGAAGATGCTAACGGTTTTATAAGCAGGTCCTAATGCTAGCCCTAATGCCTGCAAAAAGAGAGGTGATGATCAAGGAGGAGACTGTGAAATAATTTCAAGCAGTTGCTTGCAAGAGTTATGACTTGTCACCCTTCTGCTTCACCACCTGCTTGTTTTTCATGCGCCCAGGAAGTCTGCAGCACCTGTGGAAGCCTTCATTCCAATTAAGCAAGTTTGCAGGCTGAATGTGGCAACAGAGATAATGATACACTGCTGTAAGCACATCCCAGAGCTATGAATGGGATCAAAAAGCTCTGCAACAGCTCAGAAAACCTTACGTGAGACTTCATGATTGCAGAAAGTTAAAACTGAACTTAACTAAAAAGGGCAGGAAGCAATCACTTGCAAGCAGCAGATCAAAAGCTCCACATGTCTGAATACTCGCATGCTAGGGTTCAGCTTGCTGCAGAGGTATGGAACAGGATTACAGCTTGCAATGCATCTAACTCAATGTCCTCCCCAGTTCTTCCAAGAGACCTCCTGCCATGCTAGTGCAAGAGTGTGGTTTAGAACAGCTATCAAAAATCTCTACAAACAAACAAACGAATAAGCTATTCTGATTAACAACAACTACAAGCTTTTTTCCACTAAAAGATATGGGGAACATAGTGATTATTTAAAATAAAAATTTGTTGCAGTAAAAAAAAAAATAATCTTTAACTGCATTTCATATTTTGATGTTAACTGTTTTCTGTTTTTTCTTTTTGGAAAGTTGTTAGGTGTTCATTTGTATTGCCACACTTATTGAAACATCCCTTCTAGATCAAAGTCCTTATGCAGTAATGGAACAACAAAGAGAATAAACCCCAAATTTTCAATATATTAGAGCAGAAATGAAATTACTAGATATCATTGTATCAGGAAATATTGTCAAGGCACAGAACTTTTCAACATTGAGTTTTTGTTTGACACTTCAGAATGACAACCTTTCTCCTCTTCCACCCAATGAAAAAATTCAGTATTTTCATCTGTTTAGATTTCTTCTGAAATCCTAACTTTAGCCAACTTTAAAGCACAGAGAACAATCCTATGTGGGACAACACCTCCCAGCATTTAATCCTTGCAAGAAGAAAGGCTTCAAGCCAATGTTTAATGATTCAATTACAGTACAATATTATTTAATTTTCCTTGTACTGAGCAAAAAAAGAAGGGACAGGCTGTGAAACAGGTTAAACTGGCTACCTGCAAGAAAGTACTTTTCATTTGTTCATCCCTTAGAACGTGGTAGATGGGAAAAAGTAGAAATATTATAATCCTCTAACGTGCTTTCACGCATCAGTGAAAGCTCTGATCATCTCACAGCCATTCCATCTACCCCATCCATTTGGGAATAAAAGCAGGTGTAATGCAGCTCACCTGCACCAGAGATACAAAATTCCAGCCTTTTCTTAAAGCCCTAGAATGAGTTTCCAGAGGAGCAGAAAAATTGATTCCAAGTTTCTTGAGTTCCTGGTTAGCTCTGTAATCAGATGCCACCTTTACTTTCCACAGAAGTTACCAGCCTGTAGGAGTCTAAGACCAGGAATCCCTCTCACCTTAATAGAGCTATATCTTGTCGCCTCTGGAACTGCCACAGGAGACAGGGTAGCACAGTAGGGCAGGCACTTTATTCTCTGCTCATTCGATACCTGGAAATCTCCTATTAAATAAAAAACCCTCAAAAACAATTAAAAAAAAGGTATTTTTACATAATTTCAGCCCTTAACAAAAGGAAAAAAACCAACTCAGCATTATTATTTTTACCTGATCTCCACTTAAAAAAAAATTATCTATGATTTGGAGACTTTATTCTACTCAAAAATATTGAGTCATAGAATTTCCCTGTTCATTCTCTATGCTGTTCAGCGGAGCAATTTCTCTCTTTATGGTTAAAGACCTTTTTTTCTTTAAAGGGGGAAGAGGGAAAAAGAACGTCTATATAAATAAAAATTACACTCACCCCCCAATAACTTTTAGTTTACTTAATAAGCAGCACATTCCTAACAGCTTCCAATCAGATATGAAGAGCTGTGGCCATATAATTCAGGAAGCTGGAGGATCAGGTTTGCCCCTTCAGTAGCAAAGCTTGTTTCCAGTGAATGTCACAAATCAGGTAATATTCAAATGCAGAGAACAGAAGGAAAAAGCACAGTCAACACCTGCTTGTGATTAGATACTCCCAGATACTTCTCTGGGAACCAACTGCGCCATGACACAACTAGATTAATGCAACAGCCTACACTGGAAGGATAATGCTCCAGTCAAATTTGACAGGAACAGATTTCTGCACCATAATGTAGAAACCTGAAGATGTGCTCCCAGAGAGCCTGTAGACAAGGACACCTTTCTGCACCTGTCAGCAGAACTTTGATTTGATAGTGGAGTGATTCAAATGTTGAAATTGCGTCTCACAGCATCCCAAGAGTTCTACGGCCCTTGCCCTACCTTTATCTTACATTGTTGCACCATCTAGTGGCTACTTGGAGGTTTTGTCCTAATTAGACATTCACAGATTGCCAAAGTTACTTTACAGGACAGAAATAGAACGATACAAGATCAAATCAGTTTTAGGTTGGAAGGAAGCCCAGCCGTGACGCTGAACTTCATGATGAGCTTTAAGATTCATTTAAACAAGAATCTGTAATACTGGGCACATCCATGCATTTTTGAAAATTCATTTGGAATTACTAGCTCAATCGGAGAGAAGTTACAAAGCTAGCACCCCTCCTCAAGTGACCTCAGGCACTGTTTATGCTTATTCCTGTTAAAAAGTAGTGGAGGTAGGGAACATCACTAATCACAAGTGAGACCACTGCTAGCATGCCCCAAATATAACTTACAGAAACTACCACTATTTGTGACAAGAAGTTCCAATTCTTGTGGCATCTTAGGGCCCAGCTGCTATAGCAGGAACATCTGTTTCTTGAACAGTATTAAAGAGCAGCACACAAGACCAAGACAAGATTTGGAGAGTCCTCTTGGTATCCATGGCTAACAAGTAATCAGCCAGTCACTGGCAGCTGTAGTCACAGTCCCACTGACTGTGGCAAGTTGAGCATCTTCTACTGCACCAGCTCCAGCTAAAGGGGCTCTACCTGCCCAACGGTTGCAGAAAGAAGGAAAAAGAGTCACTATCAAATAAGCTAGTATAGACTACTTTTCCTAACCTCAGAAGGATAGCAATTCACTCCCCTCCCAAAGTAACCAAGTGTGAAAGACGTACCAAACAACGCACGACATTACGGCAAGTATTAACACAGTTGCCTTAGAAGACAAGCCTGTACCTTTCCTCCGGACAATGAATTCAAATTTAGCTGGGACCAAAGTATCCAGGCTAATGTTAATGGCATTCAGTCCTGCCTCCTTCAGTCGGGGCAGCAATCTGGCTAAGTTGATCCCGTTGGTTGTAACAGCAATGGTTTTCAGCCCTTCTAGCTTGTACAGTTGACCTAGGAAAATAAGAACAACAACACTTTAAAAGAAGTAATTCAATGATAAGGTACACAGAAAATGCAAAAGAAGATTTGTAAAACAAATAAACATGACTGAGGATGTGTGGAAAACATGGAGGCTTCAGTGCTTTGGCCTTCTTCCAGCTCTATTGGTTTATGAGACCCATTTTAGCACAAATTCCTTTCAAAAGGTATGAAAGACAGCAGTTTATTGCAAGCAAAATTGGTTATAAAGAACAAGGAATGCGCACGCTAATTTTGTAATTTTGTTCTCAATTTCTTAAATAGCTACTTTATTGTTGGAAGAAGGCCTCTGATTTTGTTTACCTTCTTGTCTTCAATCTAGCTTTGCAAACCAAATTCTGTGTTCTGCAATAATAAGGAGCAAGCCATCCCTTTCACACCTCACACCCGAACTAGCTGTGTTTATCTAGCAACATTTATCCTGCTATGCTTTTCTGAAAACCAGTTCTAACCCAGAGGTAGCTGCCAGCAGTAGTGACTTTAAACTGCTGAAAGAAATACCACATATACTCCTAACTAAACAGAAAAAGGTCAACATATTAGACCACGACAGAGAATCCAAAGCAACAACATCCAAGGGACAAAACACTTGCACTTGACAACGGAAATATTTCCATTACCCACAGTAGTAGCCCAGCCAATTGAAGAGGGCTTACTCAAGACACTAAAAAATAGCTAACAAAAGAAAACCACATAAGAAACAGTTAATACCATGAAATTAAGATTTAGAAAATAGCTGCTGCCTCATAAGCCAAATGCAGAAATCCTCAGCATACCAGATCTCAAGAGGGCAGGCTTTCAAACCTCCAGTTATCAGTACAATAACAAATAGGAAAAAACCCTCATAAACCACTTGCAGATGCAGAGCCATGGCAAAGTAATTTTCTTTTTTCCCTCCTCCCTTCCCACATAGCCTCCACCCTAATGAGTTGAGAAATATTTGAAGAACACTTACTCTTGAGGCAGCTTTAATTACAGCACAAATATTTCATAGGCCCGTCTTCCCTCCCTTTTTTACCTCTATTTGTTCATGTTGACAAGGGCTTTACTTCTGCTTTATCTCATTTCCCAGCTATTCTCAAAATATTCACCCTAAGCTGGGCACAAAACTCTGGAATGGGACAAGCTGAGTCATAACCAAGATGCTGAAGCTTACAGCAGCAGCATTTTGCAATAGCGCTAGGAGTCCTATAAAGACATTTGGAACCTGAGGTTGCAAAGAAAGAACAATCTTTACTAAGAACTAGATTTTTCTGACATTCACTTCTCAAAATCCTCCCCACTGACCAGGAATAACCTTCTCCTAGAGCATGAGTGCTATTGGCCCAAGTTTGACAACAATTATTTAACACTAGCTACCGCTAGCAGCCTAGCCTTTGTGAGAGCATAGGATACACACTGCAGCCAGAGGATAGCATAGGAACACCTCGTACTTCTATTTACAGCCTCAGAATGCACAAAATGCTCAACCACCTAACAACAGAGAAAAAAAGACTAGCTGCCACACAGGCTTCCTTGCTAGAAATGTAAAAATGCATAAAGGCATAGAATAAAAACAAAGCCATGCTGCAGTCTAAAATGGAAGAATTAAAAAAAGTAGCACCAGGTGATTAGGTCAGTGCAAGCATCAGCTGTTATTAGTGCATCTTCTTCCTCATCTGGCAGGACAAGATACAGGATGAGGCACTGGAAGTGCACTAATATGTGGAACCACCTGTAATATCAAATTGGATAGAAGCCAACTGTGAGAAATTAGACATGGAGACTTAACACTAACACCAACGAGTTAAAAAGGATCAGTTAGTACACTCTGCCTTATCTGTGCAAGCTAAGTGGAACATTTGCAGTTGCTTGGTTTCTTGGCTTGTTGACCTCTAAATTCAAATGGGATTAAAGAGATTTCATAACTTTGTAACTCACCTTGTACCTGTATTAAGTCTGTTTGCTGACCTTTGGTCACTGCTTTAGCAACAATCAGCACAAGCAAAGGCAACTGATAAAACTATCAAGTAGAAAAGGAAACAGAACAGATGCTATGGTTCAATAGCACGAAGCTAAAAGCTTATGTCACTCAAGCCATGAAGTAAAGCCTTTTGCTTTTGGATTACTTTTTCCTTTGCTATTAGGAGCATCTTCATAAATAGACAAGTTTCTTACATATTCTCCTCCAGCCATTTCCTCAATTGTACTTCTCCGCACTGAGTCCAGAAGAGGTATGTGTATCTCCTAGTAAATGAATTAACTAGTCTACCCTGTACCACTTCACTCTCGAAACATGTATGTTGCTATAAAAAGTCATCCAACCATCTGTCCCCCACCCCATGGAAAATTATTTTCTCAGTGAAGATCTGTACTTCTCAGACTATTAATAATAAACAGCTATCACAGTTTAAATCTGGTGCTAATTTAAACTTTGAGTATCCCAAGGAGATGGATTCTATATTCCACTATCAGCTGCTTCAGAAAAGTTTCAACCATATGTTTTCAGCAGTTGCCAGGATATGATTTAGCTTTCAGCAAGTGTTAGTTGCTGAATCATAGTTTATTTTAATGTGCATGCATTAAAAGAATATTTGAAGTAATCTAAAGAACTGTAGCAGGTCTCTGAATAACATGGTCTCTTACAGTAGCTTCAAATCACATTTGTTCATTGAAACAAAAAAAAGTTTGAGCTTGAGTATGAGAAAAATATGGTGATAGTAATCTAGAATTAATATTTTTGAGCTTTATTGGTATTTCATAGACCTTTTATAGTTAAAAGAAAGGTTTGCTGAAAAAAAACCCTAACAAATGTCAACTCTGTTCAGCACCTGAGATATTATAGCCAGCTTCTATACAGCATCTAAAAATCCAGATGAACTTTATTCCAGCCCAAACCAGTACATTGTGCTAAAAAGGCTTCAGTAAAGGTGCCTAATTCAAATTCGGCAGAAGACATTTTTGGGCTTGTTTTCCCTTCAGTGAGTTTTCCCATAGTTGTTACACGTGATCTATTTAGTTTTGAGACTTTTCCCTTGATCCCAAACTTGTGCACCACAGAGAAACACTTCTGTCTTCTCAGACTTTGGTGTTAATAGACTTAATTTGCCAAGTTTTCAATATTCTTTAAAAAAAAACCAAAACAGCCAGGCTAATACAAATTCATGACAGAATGAACTAATGCAACAGGACAATCATCTTAACATCCATTACCTTTACCCTCAAGATCACTACTCTTGAATATGACCACTATGAATCTGTCAAAGTTCTGCTGTGAACAAGAACACAGGCAGAATAATGAAAGCCCAGTGGCTCAAAAAGATCCATTTCCCTCCTTCAGCCACAGAAATAAACCTTTGAGAGAATTTCATCACTGCAGTACATTTTAAAAAAAGAAACCTTTCTATCCATCTACTATCAATACTTCAGAATTGCAGCAATATGGTAATTATTTCACAGTGACCTGGCTACTCAACTTACACCCTCAACATCAGAGTAGCTCTGTTGAGTATAAAAAGCCATCAGCTACTGCTGATAAATCAGAGGTGCATACACTAGGAAAGAAAGTTCTGCACTGAACTGATGATGTTGTTGATCTTAACTCATTTTCATGCTAATACTATATGTTGAACTGTAAAGCTTTATTATATTTTAAAATACAAGCTTTTTTATAAATCTGCCCTCTTTTGGTTGGCAAAAGCCAGCTAAAAATAATTACACCTATTATTGCTAGAAATGGGGAATGCCTTCTTCAAAGAATCTTGTCTCTTTAAAGGCACACAGCTTGTTCAATCCTAAATAAAAAAATAACCTATCATGCCTGGGCAAAAAGCCCTAGAGAATGGTATTCCACAGAGTTCCAAAAAGACCAAGTTAGTGCAGTTTCCGGACTCACAGTCAAGATTCAGAGAGACTCAAACCAGCTCACACTAGCCATACTTTTTCCAGCTGTAAACAGGTCAGCTCTATATACTACACTGCTCTGCTGCTTCCTCTGGAAAAGGCCATAAAGGTCTTCCAAATCCTGAACAAAATGTAGCAGAAGCAGCGACCAACTGTTTTCTGCACCAAATCTCAGTGTATCAGAAGGCAGGTACTCTACTTTTAAGAGCCTCTTCCACTTTTAATCTTCCATAGTAACCCCTTCTTATCTTCAGTACTTGTAAGAGTATACATGCAGAAACAGACAAATTTATTTGCCTACAATACACCGAAGTGCACCCACCTACAAAGCCTTACTGCCACTACACAAAGCTATTGTAACGTCCATAACATATGAGACTTTGGACAGGGAAAAAAGCACCTATCTCAAGAAAAAAACAAGCACAGTCAATACAATATCAATCAAAGGAGATAGACTTCTAAAAATTACCCAGTAATTTATCTTCCATTGAAGTAATAGTCTTCATCAATAACTGTAAAAACATAGGCATTTCCACCATTTGTTATTAACAGACAAGCAAGTGACATCTGTTATCAAGGAAACAACAAAAGCACAAGAACACACACCACACCCCCAAATCCAAAGAAAACCTGTTTTGTTCCTAAGCATCTATCAGCTGCTCCTGCCCAGTGAGGACCTGATCACATCAACTTGATTTTTCACTCCAAGGCTGTGTTATTGCAAGCTATTCTAGTAGATGTTGAATATGAAGACAATGCTAAGTTCAGCTGTTATAATACATAGAAGAGACGTAAGTTCCATCCAAACATCCAAACAGGAGAGCAGAACTGGAAGTTTTCTGAAAGAAACTATCTTGCATAGAAAGCACCATCATTTCAGGTATAATTATTCTTCAGGTTGCTGGACTGCATAGTTCTCGGATCCATATATAGCAAGTCACTTTGAAACACCTTGTATTTATTGGGAACTCACCCACAATATCGACCACATCGGGCCGGATAAGTGGCTCTCCTCCTGTCAGTCGAATCTTCTCTACACCTTCATTCACAAACAGTCTGGCTAGGGTGATTATCTCCTGAGCAGTAAGTAGCTCTGATTTAGGGGTCAGCTTAACACCCTCCTCTGGCATACAATACTGACCTGAAATAAAGAATACAGAAATACATGGGAAAAAAATAACCAGCAGCAGTTAATCTATTATTTATAGGAAAAATGTTCCAAGTGCAACTGTCTTTAATGGATGTCAAATGACTTTGCTTGCAAGATTTGATGTATGATCTTAGCTGTATTTCAGAAAAGCAATCTCCTAACAATTTCCTGTTTTCCTTCAAAAGAAAACCCAAGATTCATTTGCTAGGTCTCAAAATGACAGTGAAGCCTTCACTTTGAAGGGAAAGCTGATCTTGTGTTCATGTAATCAGCATTCAAACAGAGACACCAAACTGATCCAGCAAGCACTGGAACAATGCCACAAACTTTGCATATTTAATTGTGGGAATGTGTAGCTACGAGCTCTTATGCTTAGCACACACTTCGGGTATGGCATGCAAACATCCACAGGCACCATCATCCAAACACACAAAGCCTGATGAAAGACCCATCACTCCCACCCGTCTCTGGAAGACACCTAGGCTTCCCCATTCCACCAGCAGTTCAGCCCCAAACTGGTCTCTATCTATCCTTTACCATTACTTTGTAAAAACAAGAAACATAAGTACTCTATCTCAGTTCTTAGCCATTGCACAATATGGTGCAGAGAGCTATGTGCAAGAAAGCAAGCAGACACTTACACCTGAGGTTGCATTTCTCTGTCAAAGAAATTCGCAAGTAGTTGTGCTGACGCCCAAAGCTGTCCGTCAAAAAAGCAGAGAAGGGAGCAGCATGTTCCAGTAGAAGGCGTCCTCTTCCTGAGCTTTGCAATTCCTGTAATGAAAACAAGCAAGTGCTAAATATTTGAATAGTTATCCTTACTATTAACCTCCTGTATAAATATTAATTATCAGTTGAGTTCAAAGTTAATATTCCATTTTTCTCCACAGGGATAGCAGCACAAGAAAAACCCATGACTTTTCTTTATGGTCAAAACTGGCTGTTTAGTAATTAAGTTTCACACTCTACTTAATTAAATGGAACTGTACTACAATTTTCCTTGTGCATTTTAAGATACAGTCTCTTTGCCACATGTCCTTCAGGCTTTTTGTGCAGAATAGGAAGCAGCTTTTTTCAATTGCATGCCTATTCACTTTCCAAAATCAATGATCCAGAACCACTACAGCCCTCAGATAAATGAAATCATATATAAAGGTTCCTGTACTTCAGCACAAGTGAATGAAAAGTTGATGAAACTGCATGTCAGCTTGTCTCCCTACCAACTTTCATGTGCAAGGCTTAACATCCTGTTAATAGCAAACCAAATTATTGCTGTGTACAATTACATTTCACAACGTCTGTTTCAAGAACATTTCCAAAAAGGTCTTCTTGCCCAAACCCATACAACAGAATACTTCTAAAAAGCTTGTCTCAGATAAAAGATTATAAACAATACAGAGCACAGTGGGACTGGAAGAGACAGGTATGATCCTAAACACTCTGTTCAAGTCTGCATAAAAAGATTCAGAATTTTAATAATGTCTTTATTCACTGTCATGAAGTGAATATTAAAAGTGATTTATATTTACAATTTTTGTATGTGTGGTTTTGTGTTGGTGTGTGGTGGTTTTTTTTTTGTTAAAGCACAGCGTAACATATTCTAGAGCAACACAGTTTTCAGGAAGTACTGAGTATTTGTGCTCCAGAATGAGGGCTGATCACCTTAGGTATCAAATGAAATATCCTAAATTAGTAGCTGCTACTGGAACACTGGTTTATACCAAGCACCTTATACCACTGACCTTTACAGTCAACACCAGAACATTGTTGATTATAGCAAGGTCTAACAGAGGGTCCCACTGCTGCTTTTAGCCCATGACTTTCAAATTAGCACTGTTTTCTACACCTGTAAAGCACAGCTGAAACCACTCTACTACTTTTGGAAAATATTTCAATACCTTAAGTGAAGCATACAGTAACTGAACCAATTCTTATCACAGTACTGCAGAAAAGCAAAAAGTTTACCAACAATCTTTAATCAGCTCGTGGATACTTGGTTCAGGCACTACATACAAATTTCCACAAACACCACCATCCAAACCCTGCGAAGTCTGGTGTCTTTTCATCTACTATATTACAGTTAAATTAATAATTTTTATAGGACGCCAATGTAATAACTGAGACAGAGGCTAGCTGCAGAGCATCACAAAATGAAACAGAGAAAACAGGATCAAAATAATTAAAGGAACTACCTTCACTGTGCCCTCATTAAATGACATACAGACACTTAATAGCCAGCTAAGAAAACCGAAGAAAGCTAAAGGATTCCTGGACATACAGCAAACTTAATCTCCAGTGAAACAGCACATACAAAACCATTTCTGGATACATGGTGTTCACAAAGTTTAAAAAGCGAGGTGGGGGGGAAATCAGCTGCAGAATTGTGCCTCAAGTCAAAATCATGCTGGCTAGTCTTCACAGACTGCAGCAGGCAAAGGATTAAATAACATTTTGATGTAAATTTAAGATGTAGAATTAGGAACCAGACAAAATGACCCATTAGCTAGTATTCAAACTGCTTAACTGAGCAAAAGTCATGATTTCCATCTAGTGAAAAACAGGCCGTGAAATCTCTAGACATACTAAAACTGGCATATATGGGATGATGCCAAGGAACTGGGCAGAAACACACGCACAGCCGCAGCCATCATCTCCCTGACTCTGGTCATCACTAGTAACCACAGGAGTTAATCCTGCACAGTATTCCAAAACAGGCCTAGCAAGAAGTCTGGAAACAGTCAGCTAAAATGTTGAACAACCCAGGTATGCTTCCTCAAAACATTTTATTCTGAAAGCATTTGGAAGAAAGTTTGGTAGTGGGTGGAAGACAGAGAAGACACCCTCAGTGACCAGATCGGCCACACAGCAAAGGTTATCTGGGGAGAGGCCCAACTTCAGCCATCAGCAGCTGCAGCAATTTTGTCTCCAGCTGTGCTAACATCACAGCTGCTACTAAACTTATAAGCAGGAGCAGCCTTTCTTGGCAGCACAATCTTTCCACCAGCCTTTGAACAACCCACTACACTTCTTGATCCAAACAGCTTTGGAACATCGCTGGCAGTGGAAGCCTTAGAGAAGATAAAGGAGATGCAAAGTGGCTGATTGCAACGCCCAGAAAGAATCTGTTTACCCTGATAAAACAGCAGTACCAGTTTCATTGTAATTGCTTTTCTGCCTGAAGAGAGCAATCTCCTTCAGCTTCTGTTTTGTAAAGGTGGCCACAACAGCAGTGGGGTAAGGGGCACGAGGCCATGAGGGCTGGCCTTCCCTCTCTGCAGCACCAAAGGTGGCAGTGGCAACCACTCTGCAGCCATGCGCGCTGCTCACACACACATTCTTACATTTACTCGGCTGGATGGCCGAGCTCAGAGAGTTGTGG